ATAAGTATATTTTAGCTTAGTTAGTCTTTTTATAACTAACTCTTCTATAATCTTACTCTTTAATTAATTTATAGAATCTATTATTATTATATAAGGATTAATACCTATAACTATATAGAAAGATATATTCTTAATAGATGCCTAGTATATATTATTATAAGTAAACTCTATAATAAAGAGATAGTTAATCTAGTCTTTCTAACTAAAGTTAATATAAGCTTATAAGTATTATTTTAGTATATTATTTAGGTATTTTATCTAGTTATCTATTTATAAGTAGTAGGCTATAGAAAGACTCTTATAAATTAAGAGATAAAATATAAAATTTACTTAGAAATCTTTTATAAAGATAGAACCCTAGTCTATAATAATCTTTTCTAGGATTTTATAAAATTAGAAGATCTTATAGATAAGACCTATTATTAACTTCTCTCTACTAAGAGTAGTCTAAATAGATATAAAGTAGCCTATCTTACTAAATTAGTCTACTACTACAAAGATATTATTAAAAGTTTCTTACAAATTTACTATAGAAGTACTTATAAGAAGATCTATAATAATTTAGATCTAGATATCTATAAAAATAGATATAAGCTCTAATAAGCCTTACTACCTACTCTAGATCTACTATAATCCTTAGTATACCCTATAAGTTATATAATAATTATAGATAAAGTTCTTTATTTCTAGCTACTAGAAGTATCTTAGAACTAACTCTCTTATTCTTTATTCTATAAAGTAGCCTATAAAGAGATTAGTATAAAGTTCTATAAGAATACTTAATCTTTAGCTATAATAATCTAAAATATAAAGTAAGCCCTTATAATAGAGGAGCTCTTTATAGCTTATCTAATATAATAATTTATTCTTTATATAATAAGACTATAATAATTTCTTTATAGCCTCTACTTATACTATATAGATCTTCTTTATAAGTTTATCTTATATAAGTAGTCTTAGTAATAAAACTTAAATTTCTATAGAGGAGTCTCTTATATAAGAGCCTAGCCTTTAGATACTCTTATAAATATTAGCTCCCTAAGTTAGTTCTTCTTATAAGTTTATTATCTCTTAGACTAATATTATATAAACCTTCTATTCTATATCCTTTAGAGTATTTACCTTAGTATATTCTCTTTTATAAAATATTAATTATTATATTAATATATTAAGATCTCTATCTTCTTAGCCCTAGATATTAGTCTTTATAGTCTCTCTCTTATAGTTAGTCCTTTATAAGGATCTATCTATAGGGTTCTTTTTCTTTATATAAAAGACTATCTTAAAATTAAATACTATATATATTTATAACTACCTTATCTATCTTTATAATAATTAAGGTATAATCCTAAAGTAATAAAGATTATTATAATTAATAATAACTTTAATAACTTCTTTAAATAGTAGTACTACTCCCTAAAGAATTCTATTATTATAATAAGTTCCTAATTATAGATACTATAGTTCTTCTCTATAAATTATATCTTTTATAAGAAGAAGGCTACTAGCTACTAATAATCCTCCTTACTTAGCTATAATAGTATTCTATAAATAATATATCTAGATATATTTATTTCTATTTATAAGTAGTACTTCTTATAAAAATAAATATATATTATCTACTTCATAAATACTTTCTTTAATTTATTAAAGATATTTACTACTTTTAAGATTAGGAACTTCTTTCTTAGAGTCCTTCTCTTATTCTCTAGGCTAGATTTCTATAGAAGGTCTAAAAAATATATTAAAAAGTATAAATACCTCTTAATAAATCTCCTATATTAATTAGTAAACCCTAGGAATACTAGGATCTCCTTTATAGATTCTAGTTATAGCTATTCTATAATAGTATTAATCTATAAAGATTCTATTTCTAGATCTTCTAATATAATTATATAGCCTAAGAAGTTAATTCTCTTTATTATAAAGAGATACTTAGCTTTATAAATAATTTTATTTATTAAAGTTAGATTATTATAAAGTAGATATACTTATAATACTCCTTCTTATCTTATAAGAATATTATAATAATATTAATATAGACTATTATAAAGATATCTAGGTAGTTATAGAATAGCTAGTTTATAAAGCTCTAGAATATTATAGGAGTATTAATAAGCCTAAAAAATATAATTAAATACTTAAATAATCTATATTTTATATAAAAGACTATTTTCTACTCCTACTCCTTTATAATCCTAATCTAATAATAAATCTTATAAAGATCTAGCTATATAAAAATCCTCTCCTTTATAAGTCTCTTAATAATCTTTAATATAAGAGGGAGTAGATAATAATTCTTTAAGATAATATAATTTAGATTATAATAATTAATATATAATTAAAGAATACTATTTTTCTTTTTTATAAAGAGTATTAATATTTTTATTACTAATTTTAACTCCTATATTTATCTCTTTATAAATATTATCTAAAGATACTTATAAAGTACTACTAACTCTACTAAAAAAAAATTATAAAGAGATCTAAAAGATAGTTCCTTCTCTTCCTTTAGATCTATTTCTAGATTTATATCTTTATAATATAATAGTAATTCCTAAGCCTTCTTCTCTAAGAAGACTATATTAAAGTTTATAAGCTAATCTAATATAAAGTTCTTATTTTTTACTATCTTTTATAGGGCCTCTATAACTTATACTACTATAATTATTATATCTTCTACTTCTATAAACTCTTCTACTAAAACTAAATAAATTTATAGAGTTAACTCTATCTTAAAGATTATCCTATCCTCTCCCTAAAGGATTATAGGGTTATACTACTTTAATTATAGTATCTCTAAGATAATATAATTTATATCTAGAGATACTATTATAAGCTCTATAAAGAGCTACTCTATTTTTTTATTATTCTTAATTAAAATAGTAGCTTCTACTACTTCTTTATTTCTTATTTCTTATAAGATTAATATCTCTATAAAGACCTATTATAATAAGACATACTAGTTATTTTCCTTAGCTAGTATTATAGGGATAAGATTAATAATACTTTTATTATTAATTAATACTTATAAGACTAGTCCTTATCCCTTCTCTCCTATCTAAGCCTAAAGAAATATACTTAGATAAGAGAGTAAGAGCTTATAATACTCTTTATCCTACTCTTTAATAATAATAATAATAATTAGTTATTTAGTCTTTATAGGGTCCTTCTACTTAGACTTACTTAGGTAGTATCTTATAATTTATCCTTCTATATTATAATTAAAATAGACCTATAAGGTGCTAAAGGTATAAGGCTATAGGCCTTACCTTTTTATAAATATGATAGTTATAGTAGGTCCTATTATCCCTATCTTCTTAGTAGTAATATAATCTACAAGGGGCTTCCCTAAGTTCCTAGGGCCTTAATAATCCTTACCTCTTTATATCTTCTTTATATTCTTTATATTATTCCTTATTTTAATCTATTACTCTCACCACCTCTGCTAGTATGTATAGTCTATTTCTCTCTTATAGGCCCTTATCTAAAATATTTATAATTTTACTTCCTACTTATAATTCTCTAGATTATCTAGCTATAATTCTAGGAAAGTATAGAGGTTTTTTTATTCTTAATTATAAAAGTCCTTAGATATCTTACTCTACTAAAGATTAGAGAAGATATAATCTAGATAAGCTATTATAATCTTAGTATACTTCTTCTTATTCTAGTTATTAGCCTTTATAGTAGACTCCTAGCTTATAATAAAGGCTTAATATATTATATAATTATAGATTAAGTATCTCTCTAACTTAGATAGAGATTAGATTTAGATATTAGTCTTCTTTATAGATAGTAAAAATAATTTTTTTTATTTCTAGCTTTATAGGCACTTTCTAAGGCCTATATCTAGATTATTATAAAGCTTCTAGATTTCTTATAGAAGCTATAATTCTTATTATAGATACTTTCTTATAGGGGTTATCTTTATTAACTTTAGATTTATTAGAATAAAGAAGTCTTATAAATCTAGCTTACTCTTAGAGTCTTTCTCTTTCTAGATTATCTCTTTTTCTATTATCTAACTTTATATAGTTATAGAGGAGGATTTACTAGATAGTTTAGATCTAATTAATCTCTTTTATAATATTATTTTCCTAATAGACTAGTTTTAAAGATTAAGTAATAAAATATAAGGATCTATAATCTATAAGAATTAGAAACTAATATAGAAGAAGAATATTTATAAATAGGTTTAAAGATAGATATCCTTATTTAAAGAGATTATTACTAAACTTCAGAGTTTAGTAGTCACAGGCAGGGTTTATATCTTTATATGTCATGTGACTATTCACATGACCTCTTATAAGGAGATGAGAAGGCTCCTATGTGAAGGTAGCTTTAATATAATATATAATAGACCTTCACAATCCTTACATATAGTTAACTCTATCAGGGTTGCATTTAATATAAGTTTAGGTAGGTTCATGGCTAGTTAGCACTAAACTACTTAGGTTTTAAAATTATAGGACGTAGAACATACCTAACCTAATCTAATTTAGTATATATTTTATCTTAAACTTAAAGCTTAATATAATTATTATATTTATAGTAGGAGCTAACTTACCATAGTTTAAATTTAGTTTATATTGAGGTTAGTTAAATTATTATTAAAATCTAATATTTTTATATATAAGATACTATAATATTTACTTATATAATAATAATTATTATTTAAAATAATATTTAATAATATACCTTCACAATCCTTACATAAGGACTACTTGAAATTTTTAAGTGGATTATATACATATCAATAAAGGAAAAAATTTTAGTATAAGGTACACTTTATTTTAGGTATTCCTATAATGATGTAAGTAAGCATCACATAACTTTTAGGGTGATGACTAGCCTATTTTGACTCATGAGACTCAAAAGGCGACCTTAAACAACCTGCAACCACTTTTGTACCCTGACTTGCTGAAACAAGGGGAAAAGGTGAGAATATGCCCATTGAAGATGCCGTGAGATGTACTTACTAATGAATATAGTGACTAATGCCTCGACTCCCTACTCGGCTGACGCTCAAGGCACAGCAGCTGAATCCGCTCATCCGAGTGCTATTACGAGAATGCCGTACGCTTGATTCAGCATGTAACGAATTTCGCTGGCTGCGTGAAAAAGCCCTTGATATGAAGCCGAAGGACAGGCATGTTGATTCTCCTACACTGACAGGCTGGAGGAGCGCTTTGAGGTCAATGTGTCTGTCCCGGTCAAGAGGGATGCCTCTCCAATACATTCTCGGGGACCAGCCCTTCGGGGATCTTAATATCATGTGCAGGAGAGGTGTTCTGATTCCAAGGCATGTCTTGTAACATCCCATCTAATACTACTAGCACCTGGTACAACCGCTCACAGTTCTTGGCTAGGTCTGAGACAGAATCTATTACGATCCATATTGCTAAGGTTATCTGCCATGAATTCCCTGGACCCACCCATCCAGACGGTGCCTCAGCCGCGAGATACCCTCTCCAAATCGTGGATCTTTGTTCTGGCACTGGGTGCATATCACTTCTATTACATGCCCTACTGGCCCCTCGTTTCGACCATTTATCTATACTCGGAATAGATATCCACCCCAAGGCTATTCGATTGGCTAAAGATAACCTTCTCCATAACTTCAGATTGGGTCGCCTTTCCAAACGTGCAATTGCAGAAATTCAATATTGCCGGGGTGATATACTCTGCCGGCAAGGCCAATTTCCAGGGATCGATGATTGTCTGTTGACATACTTCCGTTCGCCGCAGGGATCAAAAGAATCCCTGGATGTCGAGGAACGCCGAGTTGACGTCCTGGTTGCAAACCCCCCATACATATCTGCTGAGTCCTTCCATGATGGCACGACTGCACGTAGTGTACGAATTTTCGAACCCACCCTTGCTTTGGTACCCCCGGTTTGGTCGCCTCCTCCGATGACCGGATTCTACGAGGAGGATTTATTCTACCGGGATATCGTCTTACTATCTCTCAAACTTCGACCGAGACTTGTTGTATTTGAATGCGGTGATAGGGAACAAGCAGCGCGTGTAAGTGCTGCTTTTGTGACATTTGCAACATGCCACGGAGAGTCCTTGCCAATTATCTCTTCACAGATATGGCCCAGCGAGGCCGGTGATGAAGTAGCCAGTCCTCTCTCTGAAAGTGAGGCATGCGCTGTTTTTTTACATATGCAGTCCTGATTATGCTAATATGGTCGAAGATCATTGTAGAATATTTCATATCTACAGTTTTTGTTATCATGTAATGAATACAATGAATACAATGAATATAATGAATATATATGACACCCTCTGGCTAATATAATAATTTCACAATCCTTTGTTTATAGTTGGAAATGTACTGGAATATATGATTGGTTACCCTTTAGGCCATTAATAATACATATCTCTTCCTATTACTACTCACAATCCTGGAATATTGGTAATAGAGGGAGGTTATCTTTTAGGGTGCAAGCAAGTAGATAGCATGTTAGCACCTTGATGGTAAAGGCCAGTCAGGTGACTATAATTGTGGATTGTTAGGAGGCCTTAGCATGTACAAAGTTCTATAGGGGAGCTGTAAAGGAATAATATAAGGGATAGCTAGGCACAGAAGAATAATATGTGATAGGATAGAGACTAATGGACCTTTTTTATCTCTCTTACCTTACCTATACAGCTTATCTTACCTTCTATAACTAATCCTTTTTATCTCTCCTATCTTATATATATATATATTATTCCACTTACTATGATTATTTTTTATTAAGAAAGATAATTATACACTAGAGATTAGGCTATATATATAATATAATATAAGATTAACTACCTAGCTTACTTATAATCTATAACTTAGGGCTATTATTAATACATAAAAATTATATTTATATATTATTTTAATCAATTTAGGAGTTAATATATACTATAGATTTATATACTATATTAAGAATATATATAATTTATTAATCTATTAATTAGCTAATTATCCCTCTCTAAATTATAGTTTTAGTTAGATTTTATTTTCTCTAAGCTTTAATATTATATCTTATATTATTAAATTATCTTTATTAAAGATAGCTCTTTAAATAGGACTATTATTTAATTTATTAGAGCTAGCTCTATCTTAGTAGTTAGTCTATACAGCTAAAACCTTTTTCTCTTTTATTAATTAATTTATTATTTTTATATAATACTATAATTATTATGATGGTAGTTGTAAAACCACAAAGGTGGTGATGGATTTTGTTGATGGTTGAAAGATGATTATTTTACTATGGCTGTGAGAACACTAGGTTTCGTATGTGGAATATGACTAGTGTGAAAGAATAGATACTGTGTAGCTTAGATTTCAAGAATTTAGATGATTTAGTAGATTAATGCTAGGTTAGGATTCTTCCTCTATAGGGGAGAATTTACCTAACCCTCTGCTTAGTAAGGGCTAACTAAGAGATACCCTTATATAGGTAAGATAGATATCTTACCTATACTATTAGGAGGCCTTATAACTACCCCCCCCCCCTTACAGGCCTTAGTCCCTTAAGGCCTTTATAATCCCCATATGATGTAACCTTTATAATTAGTATCTAGTATTATATAGTTCTCCTGACCTATAAGCCTCCTCTATATAGTATAGTTATTAAAAAATTTTATAAAAGCTTAAAAACCTCTCTATAAGAGTAAAAATTATAGCTAGTATAGGAAAAAGATTCTTATACTACTTATAGAGGCCTAAAGTTAAAGACCTTATAGATTATTTTTATTATATAGATAGCTAGTTAAGATAGTTATATATCCCTCTCTTAAAAGATAATACTTCTAATCTCTTATAATCTTCCTTTCTTCTCTTCTTAAGTTATTATTTATTATCTATTATTAAAGGTAAGTAGATTTTATCTATCTTTCTCTTATTTTAAGTATTTTTATTTCTTTATTTATAAGTAGGAATAACTACCTCCTTATATAATACCCTTATATCTATAAATAATAATATAAGTTATTTATAAGTAGTTCTTCTCTTATCTCTTAATTATAATAGAATCTTTTAAGCAGAGTATTATCATAAGCTTATCTTATATAATATTCTTATCTATAGGTTATTTCTATAGCTTATAGATAGATAAATAAACCTCTATATACTTCTCTTTTAATAACTTTAGTTAATTTATAGATTTTATAAATATAAAATATTATATTTATCTTTATTAATACTTCTTTTTTTTCTTTACTTAGCTTATAGATTATAGAGTCCCTCTTCCTTTAGTAGTAATAGTAGCTACTTCTCTAGTTCTTATTAAATCCTAGATCTAGGTTCCTCCCCCCTCTTATTTCCTTTATATTATGGTTCTATAACTCTAATATAGATAGTCTCTTAGCTAGTAAACTAGGTAAGCTACCCTATAACTACTCTCTATAGCTATATATTAATTATTCTAGTTAGAGGATTAATTTATTATTAATCCTCTCTCTATCCTAAGTAGCCTACTTATATAGATAGCTTAGGATATACTATCTCTAATAGCTATAATAATTAAGGAGTAGGCTTATATTTACTTTATTAAATATCTATTTAATATATAATTTAACCCTAGGACTATGCAGGCACCTATTATACTTTTAGGTCTTATTCTATAGATAGGTATTAAGCCCTTATCTAGCTATAAATATTAATAGGTATTCTTACTAATCTTAAGATATATTTATTATTATAGGTTTACTCCTAGCTTAAGACTAGTAGTCTATATATAATATTATAAGACTATTTTTATAACTTATATTAGTTACTACCTACCCTATATTCATAAGTATATATAGTACTACTAAATAATAGTAGGATAGTCTTTAGGTATCCTATCCTTTATATAGTATATTTCTAGGGATATTAGATAAAAGTATAATAACTATTTATACTATATAGGAGTCTACTTATTAATAAGTTAAGATATCTTCTTCTAGTAGTAGTCTTACTCCTTAGTATAGATATCTTCTCTTATAGTCTATATACTTACTAGACTAGGATTATATAATATATAAGGTGCCTAAGGCCTTAGTATAGTAGTATAAGCTTATATCTATTATAAGTATTACTTTCTTTTTTATTTTAATTAAGCTAAAGTTCTCCCTGCTTATAAATTATATTCCTTATAGATATCTATATATTATAGACTTATTATAGATTCCTAGGTATCTCCCTTAGGTCCCTATCCTTTCTACTATACTAGTAGTTTTCTTAATCTATTATTATTATATAAGTCTAAGATCTTCTCTAGATAGTACTTATAGATCTCTTTCTTTATAAGTCTTACTAGAAAGTATTTTATAAAGTTTATATCCTTTATTTTCTTATACCTTTATAGTATAAAAATATAAAAGATATTATAAATCTTTAGACCTATAGAGAGTTTTATATAGTAGGTATTTAATTCTACCTATTCTATTATTCTTAGTAAACTAGTCTATAACTAGTTCTTAGTACTAACCTAGACTTTATTACTAATCTAGAAGTTCTCTATAATCCTCTTCTAATTATAATACCTTTATTAATACTCCTAGACTTTCTTAATCCTACTTATAGCTTCTAGTCTTATCCTTTATAAATACTCTATATACTTATATAAGCTAGGGGTAATATTATTCCCCCTTTAGGTATTTAGAGCTATTATCTATAGGTCTACTCCTATAACTATATAGAATAGGGTATTCTAGATAGATAACTAATATATATTATTATATATAAACTCTATAATAGGTAGATAGTCTACCTAGTCATCTTATTTAAAGTTTATATACCTTTATAAATATTACTTAAGTACACTATTTAGCTACTCTATTTAGTTATTAATCTATGGGTAATAGATAGTACTTAATATATACTTAATATATAAATAGTATATTATCTTAGATTAGAATCTCTTTATAAAGACTAACCCTTAGTCTAGTATAATACTTATAGGTATCCCATATAGGTGTACTACCTTATAGATTATTATATATATTAGTTTCTTACTAGATATATTCTTCTATATAGGCATGAAATATACTCTCTTACTTATCTTATTAATAATAACTAGGATAGTATTAAATACCTCCTATAAGGAATCCCTTATATAAATACTTATAGGTAGATTAGTAATAAAATCTATACTAATTTATTTCTATATCTTTTATAGTACTAGTAAAGGTTAAAATAGTCTCTACTACTTTTTATAAATTATTTATAATCCCTAGTATACCCCATATACCTTATAATACTAATATATAAAATTAGATATTAATAGCTACTAAAACCTTTACTTTACTAGCTCTAAGGTCCTCTTATATATAAAGTACCAGCTATAGGGATTATTATTTATTTTTATAAGGATCTATAGCCTTAGGTAGTACTAATTATATATATAAAGCTTATCTTTATAATAGAGTATATTATTATAAAGCTTCTAGAATAATATCCTATTTAATTTCTAACCTAATTATATAATAATAATAGAAGGATCTTATAGACTCTTTATAATCTTCTTTATAAGGTTATCCTTCTCTAGGAGTACTAGTAGTACTTCTAGGAGTCTTTATATGAGTTTATACCTATATGGCCCCTCCTACTTATATATATAGTTAATATCTTCCTATAGGGTCTCTACCCCCAGGACTTAGATACCTATGACCATAGAAATTTTAGCCTATAAGGGGTTATATCTATATAGCCCCTTATACTTATATATATAATTAATATCTTTCTATAGGGTCTCTACCCCTAGGACTTAGATACCTATGACTATAGAGATTTTAGCTATTAAGTCTAGCTTAGTAATTAGCTCTTATATAAGCTTAATCTAGATAAGTAGCTTCTATCTTACTTACTCTCTATCTTCTAACTAATTCATATAGTATACTTAATTAGCATAGTTAGCCCTTCTTAATAGGCTATCTATAGGATTATACTTTCTAGTATAGTATATAATCCTAAAGATAAACCCTACTAAGAATTAGAATTAATAAATCTATAATTATAAAAGTATTTTACTCTTTAACTAGAAGATATATAAAGTCTTATAATCTATAACTATCTTTATCTCCTATACTATAAGGATCTATGATCCGCGGTAATTAGAAACTAGTGTGAAAGAAGAATGTTCATAAATAGATTTAAAGGTAGGTATCCTTATTTAAAGAGATTATTATTAAACTTTAGAGTTTAGTAGCTATAG